AGTAGGTATCGTTAAGGCATTGGATCACCCAAACATTGTCAAACTCTTCCACGTCATCGAAACTAGAAAACAGACCTATTTAGTGATGGAACATGCTGATGGGGGAGATCTGGCAGACTATTTGGAGAAGGTGGGCCATCTACAAGCAGAGGAAGCCCGCCCCATCTTCACACAGATGGCATGTGCAGTTAACTACTGCCATGACAACGGCATTGCACACAGGGATATTAAATTAGAAAACATACTGTTGGATGACAAAGGACACATCAAACAGTGTGACTTTGGCCTGGCCGTAAAAGTCACCGCTGGCCAGAAGTTTATGGGCTACTATGGCACCCCCGCATATTGCGCTCCAGAGCTTTTCACAGCCCAAGCATATGATGTACTTGCAAGTGACATCTGGAGCATGGGAGTGGTTTTGTATGTATTGTTAACAGACACCTTCCCCTTCGACGCAGATACCTTTTCACAGATGAAGAGGAAGATGCTGAATCCAAAGCTCTCCATTCCATGCAAGCTTTGCACACACATTATAAACCTCATTGGGCAGTTGTTCACTGTTGACTTTAGGCAGAGGCCCACAATACATGACATCATGGGACACCAGTGGCTTAAGGACATTGAAGAACTTTCAAAATTACCATTTTCCTTAGAGATGTCCCCCAGCATCCCAAATTGCAGCATTGTGTTGACTATGTGTGACATGGGCTACCACCCTAAGGACATTAGAGACTCTTTACATGAAAAAAATTTTGATAATATCATGGCCACTTACCTAATTTTAAAACATAAGTCACCTCAAGGCTACAACACCAATTATCGAAATAAGCCCATGCAACCTGCTGCTACCAGGACCCCTGCAGGTCCTGTCACCTTCACTCTCCATAGGAGAATGACAGAGTCCTCCCTTCCCACCCTCACCTTACTAGCTAAAAGTCAGCTGCATGATGATGGTGAGGGTTCAAGGAAGGGCAGCAGAAGCCACAGCATGCCTGCCATGCTGTGCTGCCAGCAGAAGGGCATGGACCCTCCCAGCCCAGGACCCCAGTAT